GCCTGTACTGGCGACCCGTGACCATGGAGATATAAATAGCTTTTTATAAAGGTAAAAATAATAAAACAATGTCTTTGTCTGCAATGATTAGATATGTTTTTTATTATTGTCATTAGTGATTATCTCAATTTTGGCTAAAAGAATTGACAAAATCCTACACACTGTGCCTTTAAGTCTGGTGAAAGCAAATACTCTATTCAGTCATCTGCTTTCAAGCAAACTTTTATTTTGATGTCTTTGATAAAGACCTGTGGTACTTTGATAGTTTTTCATTCCTGATTTTGTTCTATTTTCTTTCATAATAAGGCATGTGTACTTGGTGTGTTCCTGAATTGACTGAGGAATACACAAGAAGTGTAGGTTCCCCTCATGAGACCCCCAGACCAACAGAACGTCCATATGCAGAACCAAAAGTCTACATGGTCAGACTACAGACTACAAACTTCTATGGCGCTAAACACATGAAAGCAACACAAAAGTCTGAAGCACGATTTTGCCTATTTTTTTTACGTTGACTTTCTGTAGGAGCGCTAATGGAACTACCAATCACATGCCTGCAACTTAGCCTTTACATTCCAATGACAACATAAAGGCTGTAACAAAAATCATATAAAATGTTTGAGTGATTTTCTTTATCTGAGGCTGTATCTGTGTTATTTGAAGACCACGTGAGCCTAAAATGTGTTTTGTTTCCTGATCCATTAAAACGGAAAAACATAAGGTACTGTTTTGTTCTCACACTGACCAGCTCTTAGATAGAAGTTTGCTGTCTCAAAGGCCAACGCTGCGATTAGTGAGGCATTGTGCTTCAGTTCGATGGCTCTGGCAATCGTCACTGTGAAACAAAACAAAAAAAGTCACATGATAATGATAACATCGTTATCAATGTTGCACCTACTCTTCAGTCATTATCAGCAGGTTCTGGACTCCCACAACTCTAACAGTGAAATTATGATCACATGGCAAATATTTAACTAAACAGTTTTTACAGTCTCTCACATTAAACCATTCAAAGTTTCCAAACAGGTTAACAAGTTATATTTCCAAATGTTACTTTACACAAACCTCAATGTATTTTTCAGGGTATGAGTAGAAGGATAAGAAATTTTAATCAGCCTATAAATCAGCCACAAGATAAAGGCCCTGTCACTATAACATTTACTTATGCCAACATAGGAGAAGTTTGTCCAAAATTAAAGATCAGGCTTCATGCAGGTTTCAGTAAGTTCAATTTAAGACCTTTTAAAGACCTTTTAAGACCATTAGTAATGACATTTAAGACCAAATCGACACATTAACAGAAACATTCAAATGGTCCCAGAAATTTTAACATAGAAACCTTTTATTGCTATCAATTTAGTTATTAAAGAATATTTAATTTTAATACAAGAACACTAAATTATTTGAATGAAACGGTCATATCTGACTGATGTGAACCGCTTTCAACTGAGTGAAAAAAATCACTGATATCAAGTCAAGTCTCATTGAAAACACACTTTAACAAGTTTAAACAACAAGCAGTGGACCTGACTGAACTTCTGTTTGTTGAGCAGGTAAATCAGCCGCTGTTGGTGGGGGGCTGTATGTGGGGGGCTGTATGTGGGGGGCTGAATGTGGGGGTTTGTAGCGGCAAAGAGGTCAAAAACATGGAAGTAAACTGAGTCATTTTTACCTGCAGTTATCATGGGATTTGTAG